ATCACTCTCATATCCCACCAAAAATGGATTTTTATATGAGAAATCTAAAATCGGCTGTAGTTTCTTAAATAACGCTCCAATTGAGAAAATAGTGAAAATCTGTGATCACTCTCATATCCCACCAAAAATCGGTTTTTATATGAGAAAACTAAAAGCGGCTGTAGTTTCTAAAATAACGCTCCAATTGAGAAAATAATGAAAATCTGTGATCACTCTCATATCCCACCAAAAATCGATTTTTTTATGAGAAATCTAAAATCGGCTGTAGTTTCTTAAATAACGCTCCAATTGAGAAAATAATGAAAATCTGTGATCACTCTCATATCCCACCAAAAATGGATTTTTATATGAGAAATCTAAAATCGGCTGTAGTTTCTTAAATAACGCTCCAATTGAGAAAATAATGAAAATCTGTGATCACACTCATATCCCACCAAAAATGGAATTTTATATGAGAAATCTAAAATCGGCTGTAGTTTCTTAAATAACGCTCCAATTGAGAAAATAATGAAAATCTGTGATCACTCTCATATCCCACCAAAAATGGATTTTTATATGAGAAATCTAAATTGGCTGTAGTTTCTTAAATAACGCTCCAATTGAGAAAATAATGAAAATCTGTGATCACTCTCATATCCCACCAAAAATCAATTTTTATATTTTTATATGATAAATCTAAAAGCGGCTGTAGTTTCTTAAATAACGCTCCAATTAAGAAAATAATGAAAATCTGTGATCACTCTCAGATCCCACCAAAAATGGATTTTTATATACGAAATCAAAAATCTGTGATCACTCTTATATCCCACCAAAAATCGATTTTTATATGAGAAAACTAAAATCGGTTGTAGTTTCTTAAATAACGCTCCAATTGAGAAAATAATGAAAATCTGTGATCGCTCTTATATCCCAACCAAAATCGACTTTTATATGATAAATCTAAAAGCGGCTGTAGTTTCTTAAATAACGCTCCAATTGAGAAAATAATGAAAATCTGTGATCACTCTCATATTCCAACAAAAATCGATTTTTATATAAGAAATCTAAAATCGGCTGTAGTTTCTTAAATAACGCTCCAATTGAGAAAATAATGAAAATCTGTGATCGCTCTTATATCCCATCAAAAATCGACTTTTATATGATAAATCTAAAAGCGGCTGTAGTTTCTTAAATAACGCTCCAATTGAGAAAATAATGAAAATCTGTGATCACTCTCATATCCCACCAAAAATCAATTTTTATATTTTTATATGATAAATCTAAAAGCGGCTGTAGTTTCTTAAATAACGCTCCAATTAAGAAAATAATGAAAATCTGTGATCACTCTCAGATCCCACCAAAAATGGATTTTTATATAAGAAATCTAAAATCGGCTGTAGTTTCTTAAATAACGCTCCAATTGAGAAAATAATGAAAATCTGTGATCACTCTCATATCCCACCAAAAATCGATTTTTATATTTTTATATGATAAATCTAAAATCGGCTGTAGTTTCTTAAATAACGCTCCAATTGATAAAATAATGAAAATCTGTGATCACTCTCAGATCCCACCAAAAATGGATTTTTATATAAGAAATCTAAAATCGGCTGTAGTTTCTTAAATAACGCTTCAATTGAGAAATTAATGAAAATCTGTGATCACTCTCATATCCCACCAAAAATGGATTTTTATATGAGAAATCTAAATTGGCTGTAGTTTCTTAAATAACGCTCCAATTGAGAAAATAATGAAAATCTGTGATCACTCTCATATCCCACCAAAAATCGATTTTTTTATGAGAAATCTAAAATCGGCTGTAGTTTCTTAAATAACACTCCAATTGAGAAAATAATGAAAATCTGTGATCACTCTCATATCCCACCAAAAATCGATTTTTATATAAGAAATCTAAAATCGGCTGTAGTTTCTTAAATAACGCTTCAATTGAGAAATTAATGAAAATCTGTGATCACTCTCATATCCCAACAAAAATCGATTTTTATATGAGAAATCTAAAATCGGCTGTAGTTTCTTAAATAACACTCCAATTGAGAAAATAATGAAAATCTGTGATCACTCTCATATCCCACCAAAAATGGAATTTTATATGATAAATCTAAAATCGGCTGTAGTTTCTTAAATAACGCTTCAATTGAGAAATTAATGAAAATCTGTGATCACATATCACATAAACATGATCATATCCCAACAAAAATCGATTTTTATATGAGAAATCTAAAATCGGTTGTAGTTTCTTAAATAACGCTCCAATTGAGAAAATAATGAAAATCTGTGATCACTCTCATATCCCACCAAAAATGGATTTTTATATGAGAAATCTAAATTGGCTGTAGTTTCTTAAATAACGCTCCAATTGAGAAAATAATGAAAATCTGTGATCACTCTCATATCCCACCAAAAATGGATTTTTATATGAGAAATCTAAATTGGCTGTAGTTTCTAAAATAACGCTCCAATTGAGAAAATAGTGAAAATCTGTGATCACTCTCATATCCCACCAAAAATCGATTTTTATATGATAAATCTAAAAGCGGCTGTAGTTTCTTAAATAACGCTCCAATTGAGAAAATAATGAAAATCTGTGATCACACTCATATCCCACCAAAAATCGATTTTTATATGAGAAATCTAAAATCGGCTGTAGTTTCTTAAATAACACTCCAATTGAGAAAATAATGAAAATCTGTGATCACTCTCATATCCCACCAAAAATCGATTTTTTTATGATAAATCTAAAATCGGCTGTAGTTTCTTAAATAACGCTCCAATTGAGAAAATAATGAAAATCTGTGATCACTCTCATATCCCACCAAAAATCGATTTTTATATGAGAAATCTAAAATCGGCTGTAGTTTCTTAAATAACACTCCAATTGAGAAAATAATGAAAATCTGTGATCACTCTCATATCCCACCAAAAATCGATTTTTTATGATAAATCTAAAATCGGCTGTAGTTTCTTAAATAACGCTCCAATTGAGAAAATAGTGAAAATCTGTGATCACTCTCATATCCCACCAAAAATCGATTTTTATATGAGAAATCTAAAATCGGCTGTAGTTTCTTAAATAACACTCCAATTGAGAAAATAATGAAAATCTGTGATCACACTCATATCCCACCAAAAATCGATTTTTATATGAGAAATCTAAAATCGGCTGTAGTTTCTTAAATAACGCTCCAATTGAGAAAATAGTGAAAATCTGTGATCACTCTCATATCCCACCAAAAATCGGTTTTTTTATGATAAATCTAAAATCGGCTGTAGTTTCCTAAATAACGCTCCAATTGAGAAAATAGTGAAAATCTGTGATCACTCTCATATCCCACCAAAAATCGATTTTTATATGAGAAATCTAAAATCGGCTGTAGTTTCTTAAATAACACTCCAATTGAGAAAATAATGAAAATCTGTGATCACACTCATATCCCACCAAAAATCGATTTTTTTATGAGAAATCTAAAATCGGCTGTAGTTTCTTAAATAACGCTCCAATTGAGAAAATTATGAAAATCTGTGATCACTCTCATATCCCACCAAAAATCGATTTTTTTATGAGAAATCTAAAATCGGCTGTAGTTTCTTAAATAACGCTCCAATTGAGAAAATAATGAAAATCTAAGATCACTCTCATTTCCCAACAAAAATCGATTTTTATATGAGAAATCTAAATTGGCTGTAGTTTCTTAAATAACGCTCCAATTGAGAAAATAATGAAAATCTGTGATCACTCTCATATCCCACCAAAAATGGAATTTTATATGATAAATCTAAAATCGGCTGTAGTTTCTTAAATAACGCTTCAATTGAGAAATTAATGAAAATCTGTGATCACATATCACATAAATATGATCATATCCCAACAAAAATCGATTTTTATATGAGAAATCTAAAATCGGTTGTAGTTTCTTAAATAACGCTCCAATTGAGAAAATAATGAAAATCTGTGATCACTCTCATATCCCACCAAAAATCGATTTTTTTATGAGAAATCTAAAATCGGCTGTAGTTTCTTAAATAACGCTCCAATTGAGAAAATAATGAAAATCTGTGATCACACTCATATCCCACCAAAAATGGAATTTTATATGAGAAATCTAAAATCGGCTGTAGTTTCTTAAATAACGCTCCAATTGAGAAAATAATGAAAATCTGTGATCACTCTCATATCCCACCAAAAATGGATTTTTATACGAGAAATCTAAATTGGCTGTAGTTTCTTAAATAACGCTCCAATTGAGAAAATAATGAAAATCTGTGATCACTCTCATATCCCACCAAAAATCGATTTTTTTTATGAGAAATCTAAAATCGGCTGTAGTTTCTTAAATAACGCTCCAATTGAGAAAATAGTGAAAATCTGTGATCACTCTCATATCCCACCAAAAATCGATTTTTATATGAGAAATCTAAAATCGGCTGTAGTTTCTTAAATAACGCTCCAATTGAGAAAATAGTGAAAATCTGTGATCACTCTCATATCCCACCAAAAATCGGTTTTTATATGAGAAAACTAAAAGCGGCTGTAGTTTCTTAAATAACGCTCCAATTGAGAAAATAATGAAAATCTGTGATCACTCTCATATCCCACCAAAAATCGATTTTTTTATGATAAATCTAAAATCGGCTGTAGTTTCTTAAATAACGCTCCAATTGAGAAAATAGTGAAAATCTGTGATCACTCTCATATCCCACCAAAAATCGATTTTTATATGAGAAATCTAAAATCGGCTGTAGTTTCTTAAATAACACTCCAATTGAGAAAATAATGAAAATCTGTGATCCCTCTCATATCCCACCAAAAATCGATTTTTTTATGAGAAATCTAAAATCGGCTGTAGTTTCTTAAATAACGCTCCAATTGAGAAAATAACGAACATCTGTGATCACTCAGAGATCCCACAACGCTCCGATTTATATATCAGACTTTTTAGGTCGAAACTAGTTAAGAAATCCTTACATCGTTTAAAAAAATTAAATTTATGTTAAATACTTACTTTAGATGTTTAAATCCAATAAAGCCGACGTGTCTCAGCAGACGTTCAATGACAGTGCATGTGCCAAAACTGTCACCAATGTCGAGGGCCAATATCGATACTTGTAGACCTATGTGACATAGTAGTAGAATTGTACTTAATGCTATTAAAATTATAAAATACGGTGTAACAGATGTTTTAAAATTCTTTTTTGTAGCCACTGGTACAAAAGGTGAAATGAAAAACATCAACAGGTACACAAATGATATACCAACAGGACGATATAGTGCAGCTGAAATATAAACAATAAATAAATAAATAAACTTCATTTGTTTGTAATTAAGAATACAACAACGATACAACAAATAAATGTTCCATTAACATGCATAAAAGAAATACAAAATTCCAATTAGAATAATTGTACCCAATAGGGCCAGGGGCCAGGAGTGAGAGATTTTTGTATTGTTGTAAATGTTATTTTTAGAATTGATGGTTTGTTCAAGTAACCAAACTTACCCAATACCAAAATAATTGGTAAAACTACACGTTGCAGTGTAAGGCAGGCGTAACTGAATGCCATTGTGTTGGAGTTATTATTATTATTGTGGTTTTTGTGTGGGTGTATATAGGAGAAAATGGAAGAGATTACTCGTTGTAATTATTTGACAGGATTTACTACTGTATTAATTACAAAGTAAGCTGCCTAATATTCAGCAGTCATTCTAGCAAATACCAGCAGCAGCAACACTTTGAAACCAAAAATTCAACATAGTTTTGATTTTTGCTGTTCTTGTTCTAGAATTTTTTTTTCCTAAGTACAGAAAACTCGATCTGAAAAGATATACAAAGAAAGGGAAAGATTAAAATTTCGTTATATATAAAAATTTATAAATTGAACTTCAATAGGTTTAGATCTGAATTAAAATAACACTAAAACTGAACTAAAAGTGAAGTAGAACTAACCTAGAATTAAAAAAGATCTGCACTAGAACTGAACTAGAACTGAACTAGAACTGAACTAGAACTGAACTAGAACTGACTAGAACTGAACTAGAACTGAACTAGAACTGAACTAGAACTGAACTAGAACTGACTAGAACTGAACTAGAACTGAACTAGAAACTGAACTAGAACTGAACTAGAACTGAACTAGAACTGAACTAGAACTGAACTAGAACTGAACTAGAACTGAACTAGAACTGAACTAGAACTGAACTAGAACTGAACTAGAACTGAACTAGAACTGAACTAGAACTGAACTAGAACTGAACTAGAACTGAACTAGAACTGAACTAGAACTTGAACTAGAACTGAACTAGAACTGAACTAGAACTGAACTAGAACTGAACTAGAACTGAACTAGAACTGAACTAGAACTGAACTAGAACTGAACTAGAACTGAACTAGAACTGAACTAGAACTGAACTAGAACTGAACTAGGAACTGAACTAGAACTAGAACTGAACTAGAACTGAACTAGAACTGAACTAGAACTGAACTGAACTAGAACTGAACTAGAACTGAACTAGAACTGAACTAGAACTGACTAGAACTGAACTAGAACTGAACTAGAACTGAACTAGAACTGAACTAGAACTGAACTAGAACTGAACTAGAACTGAACTAGAACTGAACTAGAACTGAACTAGAACTGAACTAGAACTGAAGTAGAACTGAAGTAGAACTGAAGTAGAACTGAACTAGAACTGAACTAGAACTGAACTAGAACTGAACTAGAACTGAACTAGAACTGAACTAGAACTGAACTAGAACTGAACTAGAACTGAACTAGAACTGAACTAGAACTGAACTAGAACTGAACTAGAACTGAACTAGAACTGAACTAGAACTGAACTAGAACTGAACTAGAACTGAACTAGAACTGAACTAGAACTGAACTAGAACTGAACTAGAACTGAACTAGAACTGAACTAGAACTGAACTAGAACTGAACTAGAACTGAACTAGAACTGAACTAGAACTGAACTAGAACTGAACTAGAACTGAACTAGAACTGAACTAGAACTGAACTAGAATGAACTGAACTAAACTGAACTAGAACTGAACTAGAACTGAACTAGAACTGAACTAGAACTGAACTAGAACTGAACTAGAACTGAACTAGAACTGAACTAGAACTTAACTAGAACTGAACTAGAACTGAACTAGAACTGAACTAGAACTGAACTAGAACTGAACTAGAACTGAACTAGAACTGAACTAGAACTGAACTAGAACTGAACTAGAACTGAACTAGAACTGAACTAGAACTGAACTAGAACTGAACTAGAACTGAACTAGAACTGAACTAGAACTGAACTAGAACTGAACTAGAACTGAACTAGAACTGAACTAGAACTGAACTAGAACTGAACTAGAACTGAACTAGAACTGAACTAGAACTGAAGTAGAACTGAAGTAGAACTGAAGTAGAACTGAACTAGAACTGAACTAGAACTGAACTAGAACTGAACTAGAACTGAACTAGAACTGAACTAGAACTGAACTAGAACTGAACTTGAACTGAACTTGAACTGAACTAGAACTGAACTAGAACTGAACTAGAACTGAACTAGAACTGAACTAGAACAGAACTAGAACTGAACTAGAACTGAACTAGAACTGAACTAGAACTGAACTAGAACTGAATAAGAATTGCAAATAAATTTAAATAAAATAAAAAAAGGTATAAATTATAAATACAATTATGTATTTCCGATTTTCTTTTTATATAACTACAACGTACATTTAACTAATTATTAAATACTTTTAGTGATTTAAATAGCAAAATAATTGAAAACGTACAAAGAAGTTCAAGGACGACTGTTGCCAAAAACATGAAAAAAATATATTTTTTTGTTCATATACCCTTAACCCGTTTAATTTTTCTATTACAGTTTCTTGAAGAAAATCACTGACTGAACAAAAAAAAACACAATTTACGAGTAAAATGCACAATGATAGTGTTAAGAGAAAAAGAAAAAAAAATAAGTTAAAAAACGAAATGTGTACTATTTTACAGTAGAAAAATGCAAAAAGCTTTTGTGATGACTATCCCACTTCTATAACTTAAACAGTCGGAAAGTACTTAAACACTTATAAAATGCAGTGTTGTTAGAGTATTATTTCACTGAAACATAATTATTTAGGTTTCAATTTGATTAAAAAATGTTAACAACAACTTTGTTGTAGGAGCAGAAATGTGGGCGTGTCAGTACTCCAAAATGTTTGTTTATCAATATGGATGATAAAAGAGAAATAGTTTAAACTATCATTTAACTACTCCTACAGTAACCTGCTTAAGGATTATTTATTGGAGTCCATTTGATTTTAAAATTTATATTTTAACATTCAAGATTAAATACTCTAACATATCTGTCACATTGTAGAATAAAAACGAAAACTTAAACACTCATGTATTACTCATGTACGCTTCTCTTTGCACACAAAAAGAAAACCATAAACGTAGTAAATTAGGCGTGTTGTGCATTTCATTGTTGCTTCAAATATTGCACAATTTTTGTAGCAAATACTCATGGGGGCTTTCAATTTTTACACGACTATTCACCGCCATTGCATTATATACTCTACTGTGAATACATCGTCAGTCATTAATTCAAAAGGCAAATAACAGTGATGCCTACGTTTTAACAGAAAAAATTAACGCAATTCTCAGAGCAATTCAAAGATTAGCTCATACCCTAGAAACCGTTATTGTATGTACTTGAAACAATAAAGGGTGAATAAAGTTCGGGTTTTTCGAATTAAGATGCTTTAGAAGGTTGTATTAAAACTTCTAGATTTTGTTGAAATATTGAGAAAATATATTATTGCATCCGGTAGGTAATATTCTAAAATAGGTTTGTTTAGATTGTCAGATTTTCATTTAAAAAATTGTTTATATTCAACTTTGATCCCACAGAATTTTATTAGTCTTGTTCGATTTTAATGAAATGTTAATTAATGTTTAGCTAATCGTAGTTCCTAAATAAAAAACTAAAATTACAACATTAAATTTTATATACTTAAGTCCTTCCACATTCACCAACACTTTTCTCTTCATTTCTATCCATTTTAGCAATTATGTGTTGCTTTCATAATCACAAAAACAAAAAAATGCTTTATGAATGAATATAAAGGTTAAAACGTTAAATGGAAAATGTTGACAATATAAATTGTTGCTAACAATTTAGCACACTAGGCTCAAAACAAAAATCAACATAAAATTGCAATCGGTCTGTCAGCCAGACAGCCAGCCACCCACCCACTCAGCCAAGCAGTCACATGGAAATATATACAAATTTTGAATTATTTGCAACTTTTCACTTTTTTTGTACAGTTTTATTTAATTCACTGATTCTAATGCCAGCGACGCGACAACATTATGTGGCACAATAATGAAATTGTGTATAAAACACTGTATTTAAATAGAATTTTTTTGATTATTTTTTCTAGCAATTACATGAAAACGTAGGAATGTTGAAATAACGTTTGTATTTTGAATATGTAATAAACACGACAATTTTGTTAGTTTTTATGTCATGACATTGATATTAAATCATTTTATTAGGAATATTCTAACAAATATAAATGTTTATTTGAATTTAGAAGATTCTTAATAAATATGACATATTTATATTTAGAATCAAACTAGATCTAAGCTAGAACTGAACTAGAACTGAACTAGAACTGAACTAGAAATGAACTAGAAATGAACTAGAACTGAACTAGAACTGAACTAGAACTGAACTAGAACTGAACTAGAACTGAACTAGAACTGAACTAGAACTGAACTAGAACTGAACTAGAACTGAACTAGAACTGAACTAGAACTGAACTAGAACTGAACTAGAACTGAACTAGAACTGAACTAGAAGAACTGAACTTGAACTAGAACTGAACTAGAACTGAACTAGAAAGAACTAGAACTGAACTAGAACTGAACTGAACTAGAACTGAACTAGAACTGAACTAGAACTGAACTAGAACTGAACTAGAACTGAACTAGAACTGAACTAGAACTGAACTAGAACTGAACTAGAACTGAACTAGAACTGAACTAGAACTGAACTAGAACTGAACTAGAACTGAACTAGAACTGAACTAGAACTGAACTAGAACTGAACTAGAACGAACTAGAACTAGAACTGAACTAGAACTGAACTAGAACTGAACTGAACTAGAACTGAACTAGAACTGAACTAGAACTGAACTAGAACTGAACTAGAACTGAACTATGAACTAGAACTGAACTAGAACTGAACTAGAACTGAACTAGAACTGAATAGAACTGAACTAGAACTGAACTAGAACTGAACTAGAACTGAACTAGAACTGAACTAGAACTGAACTAGAACTGAACTAGAACTGAACTAGACTGAACTACTGAACTAGAACTGAACTAGAACTGAACTAGAACTGAACTAGAACTGAACTAGAACTGAACTAGAACTGAACTAGAACTGAACTAGAACTGAACTAGAACTGAACTAGAAACTGAACTAGAACTGAACTAGAACTGAACTAGAACTGAACTAGAACTGAACTAGAACTGAACTGAACTAGAACTGAACTAGAACTGACTAACTGAACTAGAACTGAACTAGAACTGAACTAGAACTGAACTCGAATGAACTAGAACTGAACTAGAACTGAACTAGAACTGAACTAGAACTGAACTAGAACTGAACTAGAACTGAACTAGAAATGAACTAGAACTGAACTAGAACTGAACTGAACTCGAACTGAACTAGACCTGAACTAGAACTGAACTAAAACTGAACTAGAACTGAACTAGAACTGAACTAGAACTGACCTAGAACTGAACTAGA